AATCTAGACACACAAAACCTTAAGTATATTTGTATATTTAAAAATTGGGTCACAATATATTTGTGGCCCAGAACTCCGCGACTTCTTCAAATGCGGCCCAGAGAACCAAAGGGTTGGACACCCCTGTTTTACCGTTTACACCTTTCGCTATTATTTTTTTAGAGATGTTCGAATATTTAAACGTTGATTTGTATCAGAATTGTCAACTTTGGCGCTTCTCCTCCGCGTACTTCGTACTTACAGCGGTTTAACTCAAATCCCGTGGCAAGAAAATCGTAATTTATGATAATTTCTTTCGTTTTTAGCCAGGTCGAGATCTTTTCAACTCTTACGGGCTATATTTTACTCGTATTAAACTCTTTCGAGACGTATCGGTAAACGAATTGCCCGTAACCAGCTTTTTCTCTCCACATATCCGAAACGCGTTGCCATCTTAAAAGTAGAAAATAGTTTAATACCTTTAATAATAATAATAATAATAATAATGCGAGGGAGGAAGATAAAAGGGAATCTTACTATCGAAAAACTTTTACAAACTCTCGCGTAACCACTCGAGATAATTCAAAATTCCTTTCCTATTTTTGATTTTCTCCGCTAGAGGGATGCAAAACCCCGCAACCGTACGAACGGGTTCTGCGCAAAGCGGAACGACTCGGTCAAATGTCGCGGCGATCTTTATTTTAAACGTCGAAAAGCCAATCGATCGCCTCGAAATAGAAACGTTTTCTTTTTTTAACTTCCCTAGAAAATCGAGAGCGCGCATTGTTATAGTTGGCGTATTCGAGTGGATTAGACGTTGGCGTAATGGCGTGAAATGCGATAAATAGGAATGTGGTGAAATGAAATGGAGCAATTCGAATCAATACAGTTAATTCGTAAGAATGGCAAAATCTAGGTGCAGAATCCAAAGCGACGTAAGCCTAAATGTTGTTTACAAAAAGAACAGACGATTGCGGGTTAAAACTCTTAAATCCCGATGGAAGAGAATCGGAATGCGTCCCGAATTAAATCAACTCGATAAGGATAAAACAGATGAATAGAAATTGGCGGACGATTTGGGACGGGAGCGGAGTCGAGGAAGACTCTCGACGCAGGAGCGGTCCGGGAGAATCGTCCATTCGGATTAAAGGGGTGCGAGTGATTTTCCGGAAGACAAACCCGGAGAAGGCGACAATCCGCCTTAGCTTTGTGTTTGCGGCGAAATCCGAAGCGATTACGTTTGCCGGAATCGTCGGAACGGCGGCGGTGGGAGGCGGAAGACCGGAAGCCGTGACGATCGATCCGACGCGACGCGAGAGTTGTAGTTCCGGCGGCGGAAGACCCGTCGGCAGTCGATCTCTGGCCGGACTCGAAACGGTATTTTCTTCGGTCGCACCGCCGACGGAGGATGGTTTGGAGATGCCGAGCCCTTCTCCGACTGTCCCTCCTCCCTCTCCCGCACCCTCCACTCAGTCGCGCCTGCGGAAATCGCACGGACAACGATTCCACCGGCGATTCCCCCAAGTGGACCCCGAAGAACCCCTCTTGGACTGTGAGTACCGCCGACGCCTCCCTCCCTCTCTCCCGCGGCCGTCTTTTCACCTCTCGCCTTCTTCCCGCAGACTATTCGTGCGCCCTTCTGGCCGACATCCTGCTTCAGGGTCAGCTCTACGTCACCGAGAACCACTTCGCCTTCTACTCCAACATCTTCGGACACAAGACTCAGGTGAGCGCTTCCGTTCGCGACCGGAAGTCGCACCCGACCGACGAGTGCGCAGAATCGAACGGAGACGAGGATGGGCGATCCTCATTTTCCTCCTCGTCCTCGTGCCGAGAAGTGGACGAAGATCTCTGTCCGTTTCCTTTCGTTACTTTTTACGTCTCGTAGCAAAATGGCGCCTTCTCTAAGGATAAATGTCTCTCCATTCTAAAATTTCGCATCTCCCATTAAATCGCTTCCATCCACACGTAACGTAGTTACCGGAAAAGAGGATCGAAATCGAATCCAAAATTTAGGCGATTTTTCCTCCGGATATTTCGGGTTTTGCCATCGAAAATCGCCAAATTTTTGGAAAGGTTCCGAGTCGAATCGATTTCGCGGTCTCCCCGGGATACGGATCGATACGTAATTTACGCGTTTTACTCTAAAAATGGGGGAATTTCCAGGAAATCTTTCATATTTAATGCGGATCTCGGGTTATATAAAAACTACTTTCTAACAATAGAAACATTAATAATAATAATCAAGGAAAAGCGCTCGGCCTTGCGTAAAATCTTATTTCCGCGAAAGTACTTTAATCCGGGTTTTCCGCACTCGATTATTCCTTAATCTTCCGAAAACGCCCGGTTATTTCTCTAAAAATTCCCTTTAGTCACGTGTCTCCTTCCTTCTCGATTCTGGTGTTGGGGAGAGGACGGTCTTTCGCCTACCGCGCCACGTCGATACATTTATTACCAGAAAGGTTATTCGAGTTTGGAGATTTGGTGAAAGTTATCGCTCGGCCATTACGAAGGGAAGAACCGACGCCGATTGGTTGCGGTTGACACGGTTCCCAACACTTGGTTACGTGTTAATTACTGTCTCTACCACCATATTTACAGCTATATTTTCGGACACTTTTACGCTCTCTTTACTCGCGTAACCTCTAAATGGATAAAACGATATCGATCCACGCGTTAATTTATCAAAAGTTTCGGCCTAACTCGGACCTATCCTTCCGTAAATGTCGTACAAAAGACATTTTGAAATCCGCACTAATTGTTATTACTGTGTGGCGTTTCGTAATCTCGGCAAAGAAACGGGTGCGCGACTGGAAAGATCCTCCCGTTAACGTTACGTTAAAGTTCTATTACGTGTCTCTGGAGAAATTGAGGGGGATTCTTATCTCCACACCGAGCGGTGCTACCGCTATAATTTTAAAATTTCGATGGAAATTCCGCTCGTTTCCGGTTCCGAACTTTTAAAGACGTCGTCGGGTGACGAACGATTAAATTTCTACTTCGGTAGGAGAAGTAAGCGATGGCGCGCTCGCTCTCCGGCTTATCGTAATTCTCGCTCGATTGAACGGAATAAGTAACCCGTTATGGACGGAGAGCGATTAACGCTACGCTTCGATGCCGCCGCAATTACGGTCTCTCCGACGATAGATATAAAAGCGTGGGACGACGACGAATGCCGAGAAATTTAACGAACGAGACAAAAGTACCAACGTATTCGATGGAAAATGAAGATCCTGGTAAAAAATTGCAGGAAGCGGCGGATGGGCTAAAAATGTCCAGCCACAAATGCCATTCCGTTAACGATTTCGACCGATGTTTTATCGAATTTTCCATTTTCGATCCAATTTTCGGAATTAGAGACGAACGTAAAAATCCTGGCGTGACTAAATACGTTCGCTAGGTCAAAGGTCGGGTCTGCCAACTAAATTAGGTGCGGGAGGCGGCAACGTAACTGGTTGGAAGGAATCCTTTTTTTATATATTATATAGGCTACATATTTAACTTTTCGAAAATTTTTCTGGCGACTATTAAGGCGGCGCGAAACTGGTAAAAACGATTAAAATGGCAAATTTTGAACTCGTCCCGTTTTGAGGAAGAATGCGACTCTACGAGAAGACGATGGCCTCGGAATAATTATTGAAGGGAAATGGGTGAGAATAGACGATACAGGGATGAGTTTAAAAACGACGACGTACAGGTAGACGGACGGACGTCGCGCGGTGGAAGCTCCGAAGTAAGTGCGAAAGCGGAATTTTTAAATTGCAAAAATAAGTTTAAAACCCTATTTTAATTAGAAATGGTAAAAATTGGAAAGTATTTTGTAATTTCCATAGACGGCGCGCAACGAAGAAGCGTTTTCGGACCTTTCCGATCTTTTACTGGTTGTGGTCAGAGTTCGACGTCGCCGTGGCTAATCCAATAACCCGCGTCGCCGGTATCGACTGCGGCGTGGATAATTCGTAATAAGCTTAATTTCCTGGAGCGTCAGTCGACGGAGATTTAAAAATGTTAATTCTTTCAATTCGGAAACACTCGTTTATAATAATTATTTAAAAGACGATCGTTAATGACGCTTGGCTGCTTTACAATTCTCGTAACAGCTTATTGACGCGCAAAAACACAAAAATTTATGGACTCGATTAACATCGACCAAATTAATTTTTAATACTTAAAATTTTGGTTTGCGAAAATATAGATATTACCATTAATTCCTTCTTTGCCACGACTCGTAACACTAACCGACCGCGCGATTTGTTTCGTGACGTAATGGTAACCGACCGTATTTAAGGCGAAGCGCGGCGATTCCCGCTTTGTCGAATTTTAAACTAATTAACGGGAGGGGGAAGTATACGGAAAATTAATATCGGAGCAAATTGGCGCGATCGATATTTCCAATTAAAAGTTTTTAATATAAAATAATTTTCCGATTAACGAAATTTTAATTACCGCTAAAAGTTTCTAGCCGCCATTTTGTATTTTATCCCCAGAATCTGCCGGATATTGTCGCTAGAATACAAAAGTCGTAAACGAATTTTCGTATTACTCCGACCAGACTGTGGCATTTTCTGGATAACTCCGATACAAAGCGAGGATAGAAAATGGATCCCTTTCGCGTACTGTTTTTAAATATGTTTCTCGAATGCCAACGCTATCCACGAAAGGACTAATCATTATTTTCGTTTTGCTTTTTCTTTAAGAAATATTTTGGCACGGGAAAATTAGGACAACCCCTATTTAAGACGGGGTTACCCGCTGTACCTAAAGGAAGCGTGGTAAACGGAGAACAAATTACGTCGTACACGAATCAGTTACGTTCCAACCTCAAAAATATTTTTGTGTATAAATTGTATACAACTTCAACTACTGAAATTTTAGGCATTTTAAAAAAATGATTTCATATAATTTCCCATTTTAATACGATTGTTCTAATTTAATCTTTTCTACCTTTTAGACAATTATGCACTAAGGGTGCGACTACGCAGACGCGAGAGAGAGAAAATATTTGGCGAGACGCGATAAATATCAAAACCTGTCAGATACGTGCGAGAACCAGAAATTCGCTCTCGCCAGCGGTATTTCTCGCTTGTGCGTGGTTTCCTTTGCGAGAACTATATCGCTCGCTACCAAATTCGCGTTCGTAACTGCTTGAATGTTTCCATTTCGTTCGTGTAGAAAGTGGATCGCCGACGACATTTACTGTTTAAATAATAATAATAATCGAAATAGAAAGTTATTCTATATTTCGAGACAAGCTGAAAAAAGCCACGTTCGAATCGTAAGCGCACCGAAAACGAAATGAGCTATAGGACCAGAGCAGCAGAGAGAACTTCAAATCGCGATAAAAACGAAGCGCCGCTATCATATGCTAGAGACGACTTTGTCCCGCCACCGCGAGATTTTTGTCGATGGCTATTACAAAACCGCCATTTTAGTTCTATCGACGAGTCATACTGCAGAGAATCTTCGGTATTGTTGCCAAAGACGTAGTAACCGAGTTCACTTTTGGGCGAACAGATCCTGATTCCGGTGCGAGAAGTGGTGGAAGTGTCGAAAGAATGCACGGCCAGGATCATTCCGAACGCCGTGGGAATCAGCACCGAGGAGGAAAAGGTAAGGTCGATTTTGGACCCGCCTCGAGGTCGTCCCACTCATCGTCCGTTTTCGTGGCAGTACGTTTTCGGATCTCTGTTGTCCAGGACGTCCACCTTCCAATTGATGAGAAGCATCTGGCTCTCCTCCGCCGACGCCGTGAGTATATATCTCTCTCCCGTCACGCGGACCGTTCCTTACTTTACCATTTTCTTGACCTTCGCTAGGAGTTGAGCGCCGTGGAAGACTCGGAAAGCGGAAACACGTCGTCTATGCTTCCGGTGAGTATTATCTAACTTGTCTTTGGCCGGGAAAGACTACTCGGCGCCATTTTTCACCTATTTTACAGAACGTGACGGAAGACGAAGACAGCGTGGCTTCGGAAAATCATCTTAGACGAATGTCGACCGTCTCCGGAATCGCCTGCCGCCGAATCTCGGAAGTGTCGCTTCCCACGGTCCGTCCCAACACGGATTCCGAAATACGTCCGCTCCGCTGCCGCCGGTCGGGCTCCAGAGGTAAACTCAGACGGTCCTCCGCCGGCCTTCTCCCTTCGTCGTCCTAATTTTTTCTCCCTCGATTTTCAGGTTACTTGGGCAAGGCGGAAGAAATGGTTTCCGGCCTGTACAGGTATCTTTTGCAATTTCTTTCCGTTTTCGCTCTTCTCGGCTGATCGTCTGCTCTCGCAGGTTACCCGGGACCACCTTGCTGCTGCTGCTGACCACGGTGCTGTAAGTGTCGGAGCGCTCTTCTTCCTCCCCGCCTCCGCTAATCGGCCCGTCTTCTTCCCCAGGTTGGCCCTCCTGTTACTCTCCGCCACCGTCCTCCTCTACCGGATAGCCGCGGTCCACCGCCGAGTGGCCATGATGGAAGACAGACAACGACGACGCCTCAGGTAACTAACTCCCGCGCCGCCTAATCCCACCAGACGAGATTAAATATTTCAATTTATCGTAACGCCGTACCCCGTATTTCCTATACAATTGTTTATAAACTGCCGGAACTCGCGTTGCCAACCTTCAACGAAACTATCTTTTCCTCCGTATTACTGAAATTTCCCACCACCACTTCGTGGTTAGAATTTTTGATTTAAATGTTATTTTTGTTACTAAATAGAAAACGCTGAAATTTTAATAGTGGTAGTAAACACTGATTACGGCGTTTTTATGTCGAGGCATGCTTTCAATGCAACGGAGAAAATTTTCACGGCAAAGTTCTCCTTAGCAAATTCATTTTCAGTTGCATGGCGGTCTGGAAACGGGAACGTTTCAGTTCCATTGTTGTTTTTTGTGGTGCAGCGTTCTTTCAATTGCGAAACCATTTACGCAATCGAGCCACTAATTTTCCTTCCCCGCAAAAATGCGAGGCAAGTAAC